AGACATCCTGTAACCATGAGCAGTCAAACCTAAAAATAGTAACACCCTGTAGCCAATAGACCCATAGAGACAGAGAATGTAATTTCTTTAAAATAAATGTTATACTTTCTAACCTGTTTGTTCATGTAACCTCAACGAGGCAAATGGGAAGGTTTTAACCTGTTGTGTTAGGAAGAGAAGGCAGGGAGCAAATTAATAATTCTTGCTGGTGACTCTTTCGGTGCTCAGAGCTATAGCCTGTGAATCATCATCATCATCATCATGAGATAAAAGGCAACATCTTTTCATCTATTTTTCAGTCCTTTTCGCTATGCCTGCTCGAGTGTGGCATGTTTTCTCCTGTGTGTGTTTTCAAAACCCTGGAAGGCATATCATATAATTATTTGTTTTCATATAGATCCTATCTGTGATTTTCTACACTGTGACACAATTGAATTCCTGCAACGGAAGAGCTTTGAGGATTACGCAGCATGGCCAAAATGTCCTAATTGCAAATAATGCAGCGCAATCATCACCATTTAATATCAATTATATCGAGGATTTATCTGAAACACTCTGGCTCCCCTTGCAGCGAATAATGTTTTTTTCTTTACCGGTTTTGTTTGAAATAAAGCATGATTAGCTCTATTCACACTGAGTAGCAGCATGCACTGTAAAGGACCAATTAAATAGCTCTTTTGGTATGCTGCCAGTTAATTGTCCTATACAATTTAGCAAAAACAATATCACAGGTGGCCTCTGATTATCCACTAAAACAACCATTGCTTGTATGTGATGCAGGTTTGATGTGATTATGAGTTTGTGGATATAGCAGTGCTTCACAGTTTAGCATGGGTCATTATGACTTCAGGCATTAAGGTCAGGCAACAAACGTCCTCCTACACTGACAGGAAGGCAGGGAGAGTAGAGAATCAATGTGATGTCATCCAAGATTCATCCCTAGAGAGCCAGGCAGCCGTGGGAACAGAGCTACATTTGACCCTGTCTGGAAAGGATGGCGGGGTCAAGCCATATCATTACTTGATTGGCATCAATTATTAACAGCACACTTTCACAGGTCCCACTTGTGTTATTGATGTAAATGTCAAAATTGATGCAACTCATCATCAGATCTGAAACATATTTTTGGTTCTCTTAAACATATCACACTTTTTCTTAGGACCAGGTTTCGCACCGTTTTGCTATACATACACAGTTTAAACAGGACACACAGAAGTCATGTGTTAAAGCGAACTAAGTGCGTGGCAGTATCAATCAACCCAGTCTCATGGCATTTCGTGTTCACCAACACGATTTTTAATCTATTGATTCGTGTTCACCAACACGATTTCCCCCTTTTTTTCGTGTTGCTCAGCACGATTTTAAAAGCAATGTATTTCTACTGGTAATGACGCTCATGGAAGCACGGCATTCGTTTGTGTCGGCTGCCCTTAAAGGCAATGTGAGCGTCCATTCTCATTGGATAACGGAGAATTGTACACCCGGAAGTAAGTATTCCCCTTACTGTCGATTGATTTTACAGTGATATCTGCACTACTCATCCACTAAAAAACACCAGATTATCCTTGTTAATTACACAACATTGATTGGTTTAAATTGTGTGCAATGCTTTTGTATTTTTCCCCTTCGATTCGGAGAAACAAATATTTTTTCGGAGTAAAGGATGGCAGAAGACACTCCACTACCCAGAATCCCCAGCTATCGTTTGGACTACACCATGTGCTCTGTTTGACAAACCCCGTTTTTTTTCACCATTCATTCCAATGGCTGGCGTCTATGTCACGTGATCTTCAAATTTCTCCCTGCAGAAAAAAAAATGGCCGAACTTCGTTTTATTCTCGGTGAAAAATGCCTATTTTAAAGTTAGTTTGGCCATTAAAATGCGTTTTGATGTAATTTGATGCGAGAAATATGAGTTGTTATTTCAGATTATGTGTGCAGTGGATGTATATGATCTTTAGTTTGCTAGTTATTACGAAGATTACTTCAGGAAATTGCGTCCATAGAACGTTTTCATTGTTACCAAGGTGGTTGCTAGGAACGCTGCTATCGGTATTATTTCTGTTATGTTGTGTAACTGTTTAATGGTGTTATCTTTATTGCTACCCCCTTCCCCGTCAATGTATAGTGTTGGTCCACAGCGCAAACATATTAGTTTAACAAAATCCGCATCTAAAGATAGCCTACGTTATTTTCCCCTGTGCAATTCCAGTCTCACATCTCACAGCACATCGTCATTAACAAATACCGGAAACAGACCAAAAACATTTAAAAAAAAAAAAATAATACTTTATTCCGAGTGTGCTTGCTTTTCTCTTTGAAAGTCATCACATACCGGCATTGCAATACACGGTTCGGCTGCATTAAATATTACATATCTGCCGTAGTTCTGTATTTATAGAGCCCTGATGAGAAGACTTCTAGACAAACATGAGGAACTGAAAACGTGACGTGGATCAGAAATATATCAGCCATTAAACAACATCTTACATTTCTTTTCACACAATACGTCTCCTTGCAGTATCAACACTAATTCGGCTGACTTTTATATTTGATCCAATTGGTAGATAGGCTGTATTTACACCATAAAGGTGCACAGCTGATATAAAGGGACACCTAGTGGTTAAAGCATGTTATTGAATTTCATTATTTTTATTATTAGATATTAATAGGATCCCTATAAAGTATATTCATTACTCGTTATTCTCTACTAATAGTTAATTAAAGACTGTATATAATGACTATTTTGCACATCCCTTTCAAGATTTCAAGATTTTCTAAGGTTTATTGACATATCATATAGGCCTACACAACTATGGTGTAGTTATGCATTGAATGAAAAACTTGGGTCGCAGGTTCCTCAATAGTGCATTACAAGACATCTATCAATATTTGTGCATACCTCCAGCAATGTTAACTATGTTGAAGCACTTATTTTAACTGATATTATACATAATGTATTATACTCTTATAAGATGTATATAGATATTTCATCTCCGGCCTTGTCAGGTATTGAACAATCAATAAATAAAGAACACAGAATTGTTAAATATAAAACACAGAATTTGTGTGATTATACTAAATGATTTACAAATAAACACCACTGCATATTTACAACCGTTACACATGCTGATGTAACGCAAATGTTCCAACTTGGGATCAATAAAGTATATCTTATCTTAAGCTGATCGATGGCTACTGCCATATTTGCAAAATTTGCCTCTGAACCTTGACAAGTGCATGTTTCAGGCTTATCAATTAATGTAATGTAATGTAATGTTATCAATTAACAACAGGGGTCACAAACATAAGACCAGCTGTTAAATAAAGCTCTTCTGACCTTAGCTGGCATGTGTGTATATATATTAATGCTGCCCATTATGGGCACAAGCAATTTTCACCCATTTATTAATTATATGTTTTACATTTGAGTGTTTCCTATCCCCTAAACCTCCAGGGATGTACACAGTTTAATACTGGCAACTTCTTATTATGGGAAATACGAAAACGTCTTTTAAAACTACAACTCCCAGTAGAGACGTGCCATAGATAGAGAACATGTTGCGAAACAGAATAGTGTAGTTCTGGGGACGGGGTGGACCCGTTCAAATCCAGTTTTGGACAGTCTGCCATGGTTCCATCCCATTTCAAGTGCTGTTCGAGGCTCGGCGTAACCCTCGGAGCACACTCTCCAATCACAGAGCTTGAGGACTATCACGGGGTTTGTCAAACAGAGCACATGGTGTAGTCCAAACGATAGCTGGGGATTCTGGGTAGTGTAGTGTCTTCTGCTATCCTTTACTCCGAAACAATATTTGTTTCTCCGAATCGAAGGGGAAAAATACAAAAACATTGCACACAATTTAAACCAATCAATGTTGTGTAATTAACAAGGATAATCTGGTGTTTTTTAGTCGATGAGTAGTGCAGATATCACTGTAAAATCAATCGACAGTAAGGGGAATACTTACTTCGGGGTGTACAATTCTCCGTTATCCAATGAGAATGGATGCTCACATTGCCTTTAAGGGCAGCCGACACAAACGAATGCCGTGCTTCCATGAGCGTCATTACCAGTATAAATACATTGCTTTTAAAATCGTGCTGTGCAACACGAAAAAAAGGGGGAAATCGTGTTGGTGAACACGAATCAATAGATTAAAAATCGTGTTGGTGAACACGAAATGCCATGAGACTGGGTTGTATCAATAGCTGAAGCCTAGCCATTTGCAGTGCAATTAAAAACTCAATTTTCAAAGCTCTTTGCTGAGGGTGATAAACGGGCCAGTAATCCTTTAATTGTTTTCTCTTTGGCAGAATCAGAGGAATGATAGATGTTTCATTAGAGACAGGGTGAAACTGAAGTAAATAAAATAAGACAGAGATATCAGTTGGTTAATGATGGTCAATCATTAGAAGGTTTAATGTATTTCCAATGAGGTATAATCGAAATAAGACAGCAGGTTTATTTTGTCTAGTCACTTTCAGCTTTTCATTATTATTTTCAGGACCACAGACATCTCTGTTGGCTATAGGCCTATGTCCCTTCCCCCTCTCACACGTGTGTTAGCAGGCATTGAGTTTATCTCTTAGAATCATTTATTGTTATACCTCTCTAACCTAAAACATGTAGATAAACACGGATAGGGTAAGTTTGCAAAATTAATTGAGAAGCCAGCACATAAACTTTCCCACTGTGGCAATAACCGCTGCTCTGCATACTCCTTCGCAAATCGTGGAGATATGCAGCATCTGGCAGTGGCCGGGCAGCTCAGAGTCATTGGCCACCTGAGATTGCAGTGTTTCTATTGATTCGGCCGAGAGAAGGCTAATATTGACAAGTGCAGCGTTTATTCCAAGCCGTCGTAATCTAGCGGGCTGAGGCTTTTTAATTTAACGTCAGATCAAGTTTGACCAACATTGGCCCGCCGCGAAGGGTCCAATCGGAGTTCAGATCAGCTCCTTCTCCCCCCACTAGCCCACCCCTCCTCTCTCTGTCTCCCTCTCGCTCTCTCTGCCTCTCTTAGTTGCAAAAAAATGCTCTGCAGCTGGGCTGCACCTCAATGAACCTAATTGGTGCACTGTGAGCGACCATCATCTATCCACTGGATTTCCATCGCGCCCGGCTTCCATCCAGAACATATGAATTTGCTCAGACAGACCCTTTTAAGGAGTTGAACAGATAGGTCGGAGAAAATGGCACAACGCGCGGTTTTGTTGCTACTGTGGCTCTTTGACAGATCATACGCAGGCTTTCCAAATCAGATTAGTATCGGTAAGTGTCTTTGCTTTGTTGAAAAAGCTGCAGTGTGCTTTGTCTTGATAAAGATTGCAATGTTACACCGGATAGATGTGCGCGGAGCTCTGAGCAATGTTATGAGAGACTAACTTGATTTTACGTATGCTGCGATGTTAGAGCGTCTGATTCTGTGAAGCTGTCGGTTAAATGTGTATCTTTTGTTGTCTGTGTCATTGTAATCGGTGTCTAAAATAAGTGTATATAAAGAGGAAGACGGGAGACAGTTGCCCCGCTCAATCTGAAGAGTTACAGACAGGCGCACTGGTAAAAAATGCGTGATAGTTATTCTTTCAAATATCCAAGCAGCCTGCTTTCTTTTACAGCGGGACGTATAGAGCTCGCTGAATAAAATGTGGTCCGACACTGACATTACACTGTAAAGACACAGGTCCGTTGTCTGATCTTGGTTTCCATCTCTTTAAAGGGGGACTGTTCATGCGTTCCACGGTGCAGGAGCACAGCGCGTTCAGGTTTGCTGCCCAACTCTACAACACCAACCAAAACACCACTGAAAAGCCTTTCCACCTCCTCTACAATGTAGACAACCTCGAGTCGTCCAACAGCTTTGCAGTCACCCATGCGTGTAAGTGTGCTTCTATTTCAGTCATGTCCAGATTCTTCCCCCACTTATGTCCACAGCAGAGCGTGCAGAATTATTTATGTCAAAGTCATACATGGACTTTATAGAGGCTACATCTCAATCCAGTCAAGTTCATCTCACTTCCCTCTGGGTGGTTACGCCTGACAGGAATGTACAAATAGCCTACAAATTTATATACAGCTGGTTCTTTTCTTATTAATCCAATATTATTTTCCTGGTTTTTACCTCAAACTGAATACATACTTTTTTTAAATATAAATGTACATTTGATTTGACAGAGAATGCAGCTTTGACTGAAAACACACATTAACTCCATTCGTGTCTGAGTTTTACAGAGGTGATGTAATACAAATCCATGATTTCCACACCGTAAAATAAGTTCCTTTGGCATCCTGCTGTACACATGCTGGCCTTGAGAATTCAGCCAATTAAACAATCCCTGTATCTCAGCACCAGAGGAGTTCATGAGTTATGGAGCAAAATTGGATGTGGATTGTATAACTGTGATTTATAAATATCTTTTTTTTCACCATAAACTTTGGACTATTCAAGAAGAGAGGATTTCCATTGGTGCAGTAGATATAATATATGACACGTTTCCCTCTTCATGTGTGCCATTATTTATATTCGATCCCATGGTGCAACTGCAGTGTCTGATCCAACAAACAACCCTTTTTGTTACGTCCCCCATTGGCTGCAGTTTCCTAAAATGGGCAAAAGGGGAAGAAATAGTCAGGCATTCCATTTTGTGATGTCATTTAAAAAGATGAGTTGGGCTGTGTTGAATGGCCGGCTTTAGAGACACACTGACTGGTGCGATTGAGTCTCTCTAACCCCTGTGAGGCACGGTCATAATGGCCCCTCTGACTCTCCATGTGCATGAGCATCCCCTGCCCGTCCTCTGACTCCCCCTGTGTTACAGAGCATCTCCCCAGCATTGCAGACTCAGCTCATTAGCACCCAGCCCTCATAGCATCTCACAGTGCTGTCATTGGGTGGAAGGGGGGAAAAATCCATAGCTCCCCAACCATCGGCAGCAAATGAGTTGCGCTCAGACCTGCAGAGGAGGTGGGTCTGCGCAGCGAGAGAGATAAAGCACAGCGTCATATCACAGGCAGCAGAGCTGCAAGTGCCCTAACGAAGGCATCCATAAGAAACAATAAGCAAATGAGAGTGAATAAATAATAGATAGTGCAGTGCAATTTCACGCATGTTGAAGAGGAAGGGAAGCATAGTACAAAAAGGCTTGATATCAGAATCTAATTAAATTCAGGGGCAGACAGAGCTTCAGTGTGAGGAAGTAGCTCCTGTGGGAGCCGTGGCCCCGTTTCTTTTTCTCACTGCCACGTCTTACCATCTCCATCAAGAGCACTGTCTCAGGCCTGCCTTGAACTTCTTATACTAGAACACTGTGAGCTGTGAATGATGCAGAGTAACCAATGCTCAAAATAAATGCATTGCTCAATGATGCAAAAATAGGAGAGCGATTGTCAAATGGTATTATAATGTTAGGATAGAGCCTCTCTCTTGCTTTGATGTGCATATTAATAATCTGCTCTGCGTGAAATTTCTCCTTAGTTCGGCATGTTAACCTTCTACATTATAAAGGAAGAAGTTCTATACTAAAAAAATCCAATTATTCATTGTGAAACAATCAACAAACTCTGAGAGAGACCGTTTCAAAACTGATTTTTGTAATGTATGATCTAAGACTTTTTTTTTAAAGTAGTGCCAGGAGACTCTCGTCATGCTGCGCTCCACACCACAGACAGCTCATGCTGCGCTCACAACAGTCCATAAGCACCTCAGATTGTCTCGACCAATGTAGCGAACAAAATAGAGATGACGCTTATTATATATCACTTATCTGCTGACTTCCAGGCCTTTGAGTCTTTGACTCTGGTGACTGAGGACCTCTTGTGTTCTAAAATGTTTGTTTGTCAGCGTTGTTGTTTGTTCTGCAAACTGTCACAATTATTTAGTGGACATTCAAATCTCCTCCGTCATCAATAGCCCCATGTGTGTGAGTCAGACCTTAGTCAGCAGTAGCGCACATCTATTTTATGACAGGGCGATCTGAACTTGTGTTTTTTTCAAGAGTGGCATTCATGCATGTTTGAGGAGTACATCTATTTTGAGGCAAGCTTCATAGTTCAAATTAAGATGAATTCTGGCTGCCTAAGGCCATGCATAGAAGTTGAAATGACGGCATTTGGTTATCTTCCTTAAGGGGATGTTCTGCTTTAGTGTGCACTCTCCCTTTACTCTGGGACGAACACTGCCAAAGTTCTGCTCTGACTCATCGTGTAGATCACTCCCCCTCAATTGCTTTACACCCTCTAAAAGTAATATAATAAGAGGCGGAGAAACAAGGGGATGTGCATACAGTAATTCTAATTAAACTCGCTGCCGTTTATTTCCTTTTTAGAAACAAAACATGGAAATCCTTATGTGTGATGAAGGGACAGTCCCGTGTGAGAAGAATTTCTTTCAAGTCAGCTTAAAAACCATATGCCATTAATTGAATTAGTGGCCGGCAGCAAAACAATGTGTGGCTTCAGTAATCCTTAAGGCTGGGCTTTGTACTGCAGAGGCATGGTGTGTGCTTTGGTGGCACGGCTGTTGTTGCTTTGAAGTGACATCAGAAATTGTGAAATGTGTAATTACCTATGCAGGGTCCATAATAGCTGTGGAAACTCGGAGTCAGGTGCACTCACAAAGAAGACAGGAGTTCAAAGAAAAGAGTTCCGGTTTGAAGAAAGCAAAGTAGACAGCATTAATGTTCCTGATGGTCACGGCTAGCCAACTTAATGACACTGCCATCTTTTCTCTTCTGTTTACCCTTCTTCTTCTTACTTTACCTGAGGCGAAGAAAACATCAAGCCCCCCCTCCGCCTTTCTTTGCCACGCTATGTATTAGATTACTCGCCGTGATTCCTGTTAAAGGCACATTTTGCAATGCTTGGCTTTTGAATCTCATCTCCCTATTCCTCATTGCTCATTCTGTCATTAGGCTAATGGTGTGTGTCCCCTCTGCCAGCCCTATTACATGTGCCTTCCCCTCCTTCATCGAATCCTTCAGGTCTTTAAACCCTGGCAGTAGCAGATGCTTTTTTTGGCCGCACATTTTAGCCACCGTCTCCCACCTTTTCTACAGTTGCAAGGTCCCCTCAAAAAGCATTTTAGTTTGGGGTATTCAAGGTCTAAACATATTTGCAATTGTTGGAAAGTAGGCGTTAAATATAATATGGTCCAGTATGAATGAACGCGTCTTCGATTTTTCACAGCAATTTACTATTTGTATGCACGTTAAATCGTTAACGTTCAATACGTATTGCTCCTTTTGTCTGTATGAACCACATTTAACTTAGAAAGAAGACGTTATAACTTGTTAATCTTTAAGCTTTAGAGACGCTTATACAGTAGATATTTTTTGTTACCTCTGGACAGAAAAAGGCTAGCTGTTTCTGCCCGTTTCAAGTCTTTATGCTAAGCTAAACTAACCTTTTGCTAGCTGAGGCTTCATATTTAAAGGTGGGGTAGGTAATTTTGGAGAAACCAGCTCGAGTGCGCTAGAATTAGAAAATACACAGCCGGAAGAAATCTGCTACTTCTTTACAGAGCCCCTCCTCCATCACACACGAACGCGCACATGACCAATGAGGGCACGAGATAAGTTTGTGCACAGATGGAAGGCTGACAGGCAGGTAGGCCATCCAGTTATTTTAGCCGGGCCGGCTCAAATGATTGGTCGTGCTTTTTACAGGGCTACGGCTTCCACAGATGACATTTTTGTATGGATTTGTTGTCAAAGCACTTAAGATATTCATTGCTATCGGGATGTTAAAAGCATTCCATGGAATATAACAAAAGGTGTATCTCGAGCTGGTTTCTCAAACTTACCTACCCCACCTTTAATGTACAGTTATAAGAATGGCATTAATCTTCCATTCTAACTTTTGTCAACAAAGGGGACCAGTATATTTTTAGAAAATTGCATATGTGTCCTTTAACAACTGATGATCTGATGCTAGACATTTCCGCTGCTGTTTTGTCAGTGTGAAGCATCGGCCTGAAAAAAAATCATTATCTCACATACTTTGTGTGCTTAAGAAAAAGTAAACCGTGATAATCTGTGAGCAATGTCAGGACAGAAAATGTTTGGAGTCCAGGGCGTTTCATTCAACAGTCAGGAAGAATACTCGCTTGTATGTAGACTTGGGAAATCAACTTAATTGACTGGCATTACCATAAGCCCTCAATATTATAGTGCACTCTTTTTTGTCTAGACACAAAACATTCTTGGAGACGTCTTGTTCGATGACCTTTACGCCCACCCTGAGAGTGCTAGCTTTGCACATGTTGCCCAGAAACACCAACAGTCTCTTTGCACCAGCGGCCCACGCTATGACTGGCAAATGGCATATGTTGTGAAGCACAGAGGAAAAGGGCCCTTACCAAATCTTCGGGTGTATTGTTGTGTATAGTTTTGGGGCTGTTGTTGGTGTGTTGGATGGTAAACAAAGCGACAGGCGGGAGGTTTTTTTTGCAGCGCATGGACCTGACAAATAAAGGCTATGGTCGAGAGAAGCTCCTCAGGTGATTGTACTAGTGCCACACTTCTTTCGTCCTTGCAGGCTGTAACTCAGCTTGAATGGTGTGACCGGGGTAACATGGGACAGAGCAGAGGAATTAAGTAGTCGGAGGATAGAGAGGAAGACTGCAGTAAGAGAAAGCAAGAGGTAAAATAATTGGACTAAAGGATGTTTGAGTTTATATATGGAGAGTGTGTGTGTGTACTTAAGTGTGCGAGTGAATGACAGAGAGCCACTTCTCCGGGCTATGAGGGTTGTGCTGGGACATGCCATCTCAGTCCAGCTGTGTTGTGAGACACAGATGGAGGTTTATTTATCGATGCATAGCCATGTGCATGCGTGTGTGTGCACAAGAGTCACACTCAAACACACTGTAGGCATATGCAG